TTACTGAAATCTAACAGACAGCCTAACACACTGGGACATTTTTCCTCTATTCAAATAGGGCTATTGATTTGAACAGTCACTTATGATTGATATAAAAATATTTCACAGTATCATCAGGGAAGACCTTTCAGTCAGCAAAAACTTAAGCCATCTGGAAGTTGATATTTTAAGGTTCCTTCTAATTAGCCTCAGCCGTCTTTGTTTAACCAGCAGTTCTCTTGTCTGAAGGAAGATGGAGAGAAGAGCAAGTGGCTAGTTCTCTCATCAAGAAATGATCTGCAGAAAAAAACTAGCTGAATCTGCAACTATAGTTCCCAAAGCAGCATAGCTTTAAGCAAGGCAGGGAATTCCTGAAAAGTACTTTTGCTATGGCATTTATCCATAAGTACATAAATGAGAGATTGAGTTTTCCAGAGCATCCCAAATTCTCAGTATACCTATCCTTCCATATTATGATATGGAGCTTTGAGAAGGCTGACAGATAGTCCTCTTTTAGCAACTGCCTCATTTAGCAACCATTCGCAGTTACGGTGATGAAAAAGTAACTTTGTGGCTAATCCTCGTATTTATGACCTTCGCAGGTCTGTAAAGAAAGGAAAGCTGAAGTAAGATCATAAGCACAGCCGCAGTTTTACTTAGCAACTGCTTTGCCTAACAACTAAGTTGCCAGACCCAACTGTGGTTACTAAGCAAGGACTACCTGTACTTCCATAGGAGGCTGGGGAATCTATAGCCTAGTAGATGTGGTTGGAATGAGACCTCTTATCATTCTCAATCATTTACCATGCTGCAGAACCACAGGTTCCTGATCTCTGGCAGAGAAATCAATGTTTTTTGTTACACAATTAACAACTGTGTTGAAAGTAAAACGAAACATTCATCCTGAGTATGCTTCCCACCATTTCACTATCTGGAATACACTTTAGTCTCTTAGGTCCATGCTATGGTTCTTGCCAGAAATCTTTTCCTCCTCCCTCAACTGTTTGCATTGCACAGGAGCAAATAGCCACAAATGGAGGGGACATTTTCAGAAGGAAACTGATATGGATCCCTAATCTAGACTATAAACATTTTCTAGGCTGGTGCCTAGTTTTGGTAGTCCTTCATAAATAAAAGAGGCAGATTGGTCTAAGTGTGCTTTTGAAGAATAAAGATTAGGCAACTTTTCACCTGGGATCATACTAATTTTGGTATTATTTTCAATCTCCAAGAGCTGCACAGATTATTATCTAGTTATACTGCTGGATCAGAACCATTTTTTTTAATGTATTTGTTGGGAGGAGGTCTATATTCTCAAAAGATATGTTAAGCCTTGTGAAGTCTAATAGATATATCCTACACCTTCTGGGGGTCCTCCAAGCAGGAAATCATGCAACCTGAATTTTGGTGATATGAATTGGTGGTTCCTGGGAGTGGGGAAGGTCAAATAGGGACAGATGCTCTATATGTGGACTGCAGCTTGCCCAGTCCTGCTGTAATACATTTGGGGTTCAGATCCACAGAGATATCTATACATGCCTGATAACTGGACTCCTTCTTCTTCATCTTTATGCACTTTCTCCAATGCATTCTCCAGAATCTTAGCCGTACAAATAATCACATCATAATCTCTAACAAGTCCAGGGAATGAAAATTTCAGCTGAGATGACCCACTCAGCCCAATTACTTGGTATGAATGCTTCAGAAAGGGGCAAAATTCTTTCTCCAAATGTTGCTCCACCAATGGCACCTGCAATTTGTTTTCCATACAAAAAAACAGAAGAGGAGATAATTAAATGCATGCTCATGACCATGGGCTTAGGCCAGCTTTTTCCCCCTTCAGTTCTCCAGCAAGTATGGCCTTTGTTTAGGGGACCTGAAATCCAATTCATCTGGAAGAAGCCAATATGAGAAAAACTGCTTAAATAAAGGTCTGTGGTTACTGTAATATTTACTTGTGCCTCCTGCTAGATGGAAGCTGTGGCCAGGGGCACCTTTGTCCAGCTCTGGCTGGTGCACCAGTTGTGGCCTTACCTGGGACCTGAGGACTTCAATGGATCATGCCCTCATCACCAGTATGTTGCTTACACTAGTGCAACATACTGTACATATTTTGCCTTTACAGACAAACCAGGAACCTTCAACAGGTACCAAATGCAGTGGCCTGCTGCTTGCCAGCAGTAGTTGATGGGATCATACGATGCTTTACTCGAGGTCCTGCACTGATTCCTTATTAGCTTCCAAGTGCAATTCAAAGTGCCATTTTTAACTTTAAAGACCTGTATGGCACGCCCCCAAGTCATTTGCAATACTGCATTTCTTCATAGGAGTCAGCCTGAGCAATTTGATTGTGCTGGGAAAAGTAGCTGGTTGTTTCCCATTTTGGGAAGGTCAAGGGCTTCAAAGCTCAGAAACATTTTTCCACTGTAGGTCTGGCCCTCTGGAATGGCCTCCCATTGGAGGTTCATGTAGCTCTGAGGTTATTCATTTTCTAGGAGAAGAGAAAGACAGACTCTTCTGGAGAGGGTTTGGAGTATGATGCCACTTCATTATTATTAGAGGGCTTAGGAACTGGGCTTTTGGTATTACTATAAGTCTTGTGTTTTATTTTGTTATATGCTGCCAAGAATTTGTTTAGCATGCAATGGGGTAGAAATTTGGTAAATAAATACATAGCCAACAATTATGCCTGGTAACAGGACATCAACACAAGTAGGAAAGTTCATGCAACCAGGACTCCTGCTTTTTTTCAAGTTCCAGATCAACCAAAGGGTTCTAGTTATACTTAAGCAAAAACAGGCAGAATTTCCTGCATATTTCCTCTTTCCTTTGAGGAAAGGCCAGCGTGAAGAGTTTCATCCTTCTTACTTTTATTCATTTATGCACCTGATTTCACTTAATACCTCATTAGGACTACAAAACCAGCCAATAGCAGGTTAGCAGTTCACACCGAAGCTCAGTCTGGAAAATACACAATGATTAGATGAGTCATGGGGGGCTCTTCTGATCAGTATACAGTTTGGCCTTTTCAGAACTTCCAATTACTTTATAATTCAACGAATCACAGAAATGATTTTGATTTTGTCAAATGCGGTAAGGCTCTGCTCAGAGTTTTCTGGAGTGGGCGGCCATAATAAATTTGATTAAATAAATAAAGTAGGTCATATTGCTCATGGAAGATGAAAGTCTAGTGGTAAAAGTCATGCCTTCTACATTTTGGAACTTCACCATTCATTCTGCTGGTGATGGAATGTATCTACGAGGAGGAGAGTGATGTGGGAGATCAAGGCTATCAGGAAG